CTCGTGAGCCTCATGTGTTCTGTCAACATTCATGAAATGATGGCATGCTAACTTGCTAACTTGTAAGTAGGGCACAATTCTAGACTGCACAGACAGGAGCTAAAAAAACTGTTCAGGGCTGCCTCTCCCTTGTAGAAGTACAGTACAACTCATTTCACTTAAAATGAGCAAAGAAAGAGAATTACAAAAGAATACTACTCAAAGTTATTTTTAAACACAAATAAGGGGACCAGCAGATGGCGTGTTGGTTAAGGAACTGGACTCCCACATGGCCGACCGCAGTTTGAGTCCCAGACCTGGTGGCTTGCTTTCTCACTCCCCCCGCCCACTCTCTCTGGTTAAAAAAAAAAATCTGAAAAAAAGAATGAGACTAATGTCTCTTCAGACAATGAAAACATACCAGAAAAATATGCCTACCAAAAGAAATGAAAATTGTAGCCATTACAATATTTTAGAATGGGATAAAAGACAATGCTAGAAAATACCAGAGAAAATATAAATTAGAAAAGCTCAGAAATAAAGTTATTTGAGAAAAGATTAGAAAAGAGGCCCAGCCTGGGTGGCACAGTAGGAAGCAAGCTAGGCCACAACTATGGAGACCACACATCCAACTGTGGGTTAATAAAACCTGGTTGACCTGAAAACACACCAGGTGTATGTGTGCATGTCCAAGATTCTGACAAGCTGGAGGGCTGGGAGGTGATCACAGCATGCCAAACGTGCTTCTGTCTCTCTCTCCCCACTGTATACACAGATGTGCTCTCCATTGTGAATAAAATGAATAAGTTTTTTTTTAAAGATTTTTCCCATAGGGCGGGTGTGCTTGCCAGAAAGAGACAGTGAGAGGGAAAATGAAAAATCACCCCACTCCTCGAAGGGATGGCCATGCCACAATCCCTTCTCTTCCATTCTCCTCTTGGAATTTTGGGCACATACTCATACACATGTACCCAGTGTGAGGTTTTAGGCCACCAGGTTTAAGACTTGAACCATGGTCAGTCATGTGGGAGTCCAGTGCCTTAACCAACATGTGACCTGCTGGTCCCAATAAATACATTTTTTTAAAAAAAGAGAGAAAGGTAACAAAATCCAGGAAAGCATCGAAAATTTAAAAATTGAGGTCAGCAAGTATCATGATGGTTAAGGTGCTGGACTTCCACATGGTCAAATGCGGTTTGAGTCCTGGACTTGATGGCTTGTTTTCTCACATTCCCTCCATCTCTCACTCTGTGTCTCTCTCTGGTGAGTGCATATGCCCTGTAGCAAATTTAAAAAATAATAACAGGACTAGCAGGTGGCGTAGTGGCTATGTCGCTGGGCTCCCATGTAGTCAACCGTGGTTCAAGTCTTGGGCCCGGTGGCTTAAACTCACGCTGGGCACGTGCGCACCGA